TTGAAAAAATGCCATTGATTTGGCAAGTATAGGCTATATTGACTTGAAATACAAAGCATCATTAAACCTAAAATCTATATTGCAAACAATTGAGCTCCATAAGTCAATTAAAATTTTAGCACCAGCATCTTAGTTATCTAAACTTTTGAGCCTTGTACAAACTATCTAAATCTGGAATAATCCTTGGATTGCCTAAATTCACATACATAGGCAATATATATGAAGTTTATGTTGAAGAACAAGCAAAAAAACAAGTTTCTTCAAAGTATGTCAATATCAACCTTACTGCTTCAATTAGTTTGTAGTGACATATGCGGACTATTCAAACATCACACATAGAATAAAGCATGGTACTTTATAGTATTTATTAAGAACCACACTATGTATCAAATGTTTTGCTAAAATTCAAACATCAAGTTCTTCAAGAATTCAAAAGGTTTCAAAGTGAACTTAAAACATTATTAGGCACAAAATCAAGACTCTAAAAACAAACCATGGTGGAGAATACTCATCAACTATGTTTCAACAATATTGTATTGATAATAGAAATATTTACTAATGGTCTCAATCATTTATATTGTAAAATAATAGCACCTTCAAATGCATCAACCAATCTATCTATGAAATTACCAAAAATTTATTGCATGAAAGCCATTTACTATATCACTCTGATTGGAAGCCATCAAATATGTATGCTATTTTTTAAATCACATACTACATTTTATATTAAAAAATTGAATTCTATAAGCACTGCTCACATGAATGAAACTAGATATATTTCAATTAAAGGTCTTTGGTACTAGATATATATATATATATATATATATATATATACATCATGACTCAAAAAAGATTAAAGTTTGATGCTAAGTCACTCAAGTGTATATTGCTCAAAGTTGATCCAAAAAACAAAGGATTACGAGTACTATTGCCCCACTAAACACAAAATTATTATATTATACAACATAAAAATCAATGAAAAAGACATACCATCTGATTGTATTCATGTTGAAACAATAAATAGCTTCCATCAAGACAAATTGATTCAACCTCAATTTGAGACAACAATACATATTTCAACTTTGATAGAACAAATTTAATACTCCATTATTGACCTTATTGCTATTTTTTATTATCACCTACAATTAACTATAGCAACAATAGTGCCAATTTCTTCTATTATATCATCACCTATTAATAGTTCCTTTCAAACTCATGATACCAGAACTTCAATACCACTACTACAATAAGATGGATAATTAATATTTTAACAATCTATCCAACTAAGACAATCTTAGGTATTTAGAATAAGAATTCAACTACAGGAATATCCATGATTTTGATTGGCGAACCGCTATGAATGATGAAATATAAAGTATTTCAAAAATACAAACCTGGACATTAATTTAACTACTATTCAAAAAAAAAATTGATAACCTCTAAATAGATATACAAAAAAAAATCCAAAAATCAATGGTAGTTTAGAAAGATTCAAAGTTAGACTAGTAGCATGAGATTGTCAACAAATACACAATATATAATATGCTACAATATACACATAAGTTGCAAAGTAGTACACAAAAAAAAACAATCAGTATTCTTATTGGTACCAATAAATAGCAAGTACAGTACCTTGATGTTAAGACTATATTTAAAAAGATAGTGATAATATTAGGGTAAGAAATGGGCCATTTTTGATACACCACAATTACTATAATGAAACACATTGACTCTCAATAAACAATGGGAGTAAATATTTCTTAAAAGCTGATACTGTGAATCTGTTTGTTATTTATTGCAAAAATTCTTGCTTTGAATATTAGTTCCATTGTTAAGTGATTTCTTGAGCTAGGTTTATATTTTAAAATCCAACAAGTAATAATAGGTCATATACTTAGTAATAGAGGTATTAATATTTAGATTTTATTTTTTAGATAAAATAAAATTTGAAAACTATGGCAGTAATTTAATGCTTATCACAACATGTTTCTTAAAAGCTAAATGATTTATATTTTTCTTTTGTAAGACCAATAATTTTTTTTCAAAAATCAAGAAGTAAATATTATTGAAAAAGAATATATAGTAATGCAAAACCCAAAGTAGAAACAGAGGCAGTATTACTAGAAATGAAGAATTTTGTTGTTGGTTATCAAAAAAATTTAGAGATTTTTCAACAATAGATGAAGGTGAATTTTGGTGAAGAATTGGTGATGGTATTAGAATTTATTTTTCTATTGATTTGAATTTGAACATAAGTATAGATAGTCTTGATATTCCTATAGATTCATCAAATGTTTGTTTTGGTATTGTTGGCAAAGTATTTTTTTTGAAACTATACATCCTTGGAAATTTTTACTTGCTTTTGAGTTGGATATTAACATTGATATTCTTTATCATGGTCATCAAGGCTTAGGTGAATGTACAATAAGCTTTTGAATACCAATTTTCTTCTTTGTGGTATTGTTTGATGAACATATATCATTGTACCAAAAATGCAAAGCTAAGATAAGTTGGGCTTCTATTTTATTTTTTTAAATCTTTTGGAGTTTTACTAAGAGATGACTTCAAGGTGTATTGATTGATGATATTACATATAGCACAAATTTCTTTGGCCTAAAGATTATCAAGAAATTTATTTTTAATAAAAAAACTAAAAAATATCTAATAATATGCAATTCTTTCTTTGTACTATTCCATTATAATGTGGAATATAAGGATAAAACAATTGTCTTTGGATTTTGTAGTCTGCATAGTATAAGTTGAATTTATTGGAAGTATATTCACCACTATTGTTAGTTCTTAAGGTATCTATCTTCTTGTCCATAATCTTTTCTACTTTCTTATGAAATTTTTGAAACTTAAAAAATACTTGGTTTTTTGCAAAGAGAAATTTTATCCATACTTTTTGAAGAAGTTGTCAATAATGTAACAAAATATGATGTTGAATCTAAAAATCTAAGTTAAAATGGTCCTTCTATATGAGAATAAACTAACAAAAGGATATCAATTATTTCAGAGGTTTTTATCTTTGGTATTTCTATTTGACTTTGTTTTTTTAAGATACTCATTGAATAGTTAAGGTTTCCAATCAAAATATTTAGCAACTCTTTCAATATTCTAGAGCTTTACTATTTGATGTAACTCTTGAGAGTGAAGGAGTCCAAGATATTTGTGCCAAAGTATGACGTTGGAATTCTTCTTTAAGCTACATGTTATTGTGTAGATTGTAGGACTATACTCAACTTCTAAATAGCTTCTTATTATATTTTTTTTAATTTATAAAGCTCATTGGTGATATCTTCTTGTACAATGGTTAAAACTTTTTTTTTGCTCTATCTTTGAGCATGAATTTATCATTGTCAAAGTTTAATGTTATTTCTTTATTTTCTAAAAAACCTACTAGATGAGATTCTTCAAAATTCTCAAAGAATATATAATGTGAAAAATCTTTTGTATTTTTTTACTTATCATGAAGATTGTAAAATTACCACTTTTATAACATCATGTGCTTGGTCTCTTGCCAAGGTGATTCTAGTTCCTTTACTAGATACTAAAAAAAATAATGTGGATAGATTTTAGATAACATAATTTATTGCTCCAAAATCTAATTACTCAGACAATGATTAAATTTGTGTATTAACATTGTTTATTTTTGTTAGATATGCATCTATGATTTGTGAAGAGTATTCTACATCTTTATGTATTTCTTCTCCCATAAATCAATCTTGGCCAAAAGAAGCATTCTTCAACCGACTTCTTTTGATATTATATGCTTGACCTTCTAAGCTTCTTTTGCTATGCTTCTTCTTATATAGTATATTCTTGACATCCTTCATTTTAGTAATGAGTGTCTTGATTTTGTTTTCAAGTGATTCTATGCTTCCAAAATATTTTGTTTGAGATCTTTGTTGGAGCCTCTAGTAGCAATTGGATCTATTACTATAGTGATATGTGTCTTGGTTTGATATATTGTCAATAGTTTTGATATATTGTCAATAGTTTGAAGTTCTCCCTTTGACTTCTTGAACTAGAACCTCCTTGATGATAGCTTCATGTCCTCCTTCCTAAGTATATGGTATTTCAATATAGACAACGTGTACAATATGTGAGAGAAGAGCTTTGGGCTCTTTCTCTAATCCATTGTTTTTCTTATTCATCTCCTTGTTTAAGAGTCTGGTTTTTACTTCTAAGTACAATGGTAGCTTCTTCTCATTCAATATTACCTGTTTGATCAGATCATAATCTAATGGGAGGTTTTTCAATGTGCGATATATAATTACCTTCTCAAGTAAACCAATATCTACCTCTTCCATCTAATTTGTTGCTTCCTTTACATTCATTAGATAGCATCCATATTCCCTATCTTTCAAATTATGAAGCATTTGTCAATCAACATCTGTCGCATTGTGCTATCCAACTTGTATAGGGATTTCAGCCACATCCAACACTCATAAGGATCAGAATACCATTTCAGTAGTTTTAATGCTACGTTGCCTTTCACATTGCTAATCATGACAAAATTTGGTGTATTAATACAGAAATCATTAACGATGTCTCTTGTGAGAATAATCTTCATCCGAAACGCCCATAACCCATAGTTTTATATTATTGTCAAGTGGTAAGATTTTGAAATTGATGTGTGAGCAATTATATTCAAGCCTAACGTGGCTCCTGACGCACTCATTATCGAAGCCTATGACTGTATCAACCCTCTCAAAGATCCTGTTCCTATATGCTCGAACTCATCGTCTCATTACTACAACCGACTTACAATTTGTCTACCAACCTATGCTTTGATACCATATAGAAAGGATCCAATGAGAAGTATGCAGCATAAAGCAAGTAGTCTAAGATATCAAAAGAAGAAGAGGAACAAAAGAAATTTTATTTGTGCGTGTTGCAGTAATTTAGTTCCCACAAAGACCAAGAGGTAAAACTGCCTTATTCTGTAGATGAATGAGTACACTCTTCACTCACGATCCCGCAAGGATCATCTCACATTGACATCAAAATTGATAGCGTACTGATACAATACATTAAAACAGATCACCTCTCAAAAACATGGAGTTGATACAATACATAGTCACGAATCTGCTACAGTGACCCTCTGTCCGTACTGAAAGTGTTCCGATGCCTTAGCAGCCATTATCCCTTGATTAAAGTTGATTATTTGTCGCAGGTGCTAGTGGGTCTAGAGGTGGACAAATCGTCCGCCCTCTACGGCGACGGGCAACCCTTGCTATTCATAAATTCTCCCTGGTTGTAGATGGTTATCGGCGTATCGGACGCTTGAGTTATTTGGAATCCTAAGAAACAAGACGATGCTTCTCTCTTTGTAAATAAAATATTATAGGGGTTAATTAATAAGGTCCCCGAGTTCAGGTCTAAAGCGATTCTTAAAGTTTCCAGGGTGTCGACTAGGAAGTCTGAGGTATTGCTAACCGAAATAGTGATCATCGCCACAAAAGCAAGAGAACCTGGGTCCCTCACATGCAAGGACCTATCTAAAGAAGGAATCCAAAAAAACATCAGAGGACACTTTTTCACACGCAGAGTAAGTGAAGCATCTGGGCTACCTATCGTAACTGCTACCGGACCTGATGACCCACGTTGATCCGTTCCAAGTTCGAGGAAGAGTCCATGACGGAGTAATGATCGTCCGAGTTTCCACGTTTAAACGCCGCCGGAATAATGCTCGTCCCAGTGTTGTTGGACCGGTCCATCTCCGAGAAAGCTCCTGAATCGCCGTCCTCCAATACGATGGCTTCACGAAGCTCCTTCACCACGTCCCTCATCCACGGTCGGTGGATGCCTCGGGGCTCCACGCACTGGATGGCCAGTTCCGCCACTTTCCACACACTGTCCATGTTGGGGTGGCAATCTCTCACGGCGGGGTCTAGGATGCTTTCGATGTCGCCAGCTAGCAGCGAATTTCTCACCCATTCGACGATGTTCGACTGGCTCTTGTCTGGTAGACCGTTGTTGATTGGCTGACGACCGCAGAGGACCTCCAGCAGCACAACTCCAAAGCTGAACACGTCACTCCTCTCTGACAGATGGTTTGTGGACCAGAACCTGATGATCGTGATAACGAGTAGTGAGTGATTGCATTATAGAGTTCAGATTCTACAGGAGGACTGAACATCGATCAATGTTGGTGATTCAGCAGAGGATTGGTCACATGAAAGAAATGGCTTAGTGTTGAGAAGCGGCACAGAGCTTACTCTGGATCCAAGTAGCCGGCGGTCCCTTTCACCACAGTCGAGACGTGGGTGGCTCCAGATGATTCTTCCGGTCCTACCCTTGAAAGACCGAAGTCTGCCACTTTCGCAACGTATTTGTCAGTGAGTAGAATATTGCTACTCTTGATGTCGCGATGGATAATGATAGGGCTGCACCCCGTGTGTAGGTATTCCAGACCTGAATAAACAAGCACCAGAGGACTTTAGGAACCACTCGGGGGTGGGCGACAGTGTAGGCCCGTTCACGTGTTCAATCCTGCATAAGCCTACAGAACCTGTCAGAGGATCATGTACCTTGAGCAGCATTCAGAGAAACGTCCAAGCGTTGTTTCCAATCCAATGGCTCCTTCGTAGCCAGCGGAGACCCTGCATCGAGCCATGACCAGGTGCGCCATAATACAGCGCATTCAGAGAAGGCAACAAGAAGTTTTCACGATAGATCACTTTGTCTGCAGTAGACCCTGTCTTGAATACCCAGCGCCCCACATTAACCTATCAAAGAAACCACAATACTAATCGAATTTTAAATGGCGATCTTGCACCTGAGGCTGCTCAATGAAAGGCTTACCCCAGAGATGCTCACGGACGGTGCCCTTGTGCAAATACTCATACACCAGCATCTGTTTTCCGTCTTCTTGACAATATCCAAGCAGTGAAACAAGGTTTCTGTGGTGTACCCTGGATAAGAGTTGCACCTGAGAGAAACTCACATATTTAGGACATGAATTCAACTTCGAAATAAGATTTCAGTTTCTTCTAAGTTGCACGGATTCTGCTAGGAAGGACACATTCCTGACAGATTACACAAGAAACAGTCGAGGATTCATATAAAGACAAGAACATGGCAACAGGAAAACTGCATATCCGAAAGAAACAAAAACCAAACAAAAAGAAAAAAACACAACCCTCACCTCATTATTGAATTCAGCTGCCCCTTGACGAGAATTCATGTCAGAGACCTTGACAGCAACTTCTCTTCCATTGGCAAGCTTGCCGTAGTACACTGGACCGAATCCTCCCGCTCCAATCTGTTTACTGAAATTCGACGTGGCTGCTTTTATCTCTGCGTGCGAAAATGGCTTCGCCCCTTGCCCGTTTGTTCCACTCAAATCCGGAACGGCGAAGTTCGAAACACCTGAAAAGTCTCATCTTGTGCTTTAATAGAAGTATTTGAGATGCAAACCACCGAGATTCATTAAGATGACCTATTGTTGTCATGAGAAATGACTGGAACAAGTTGGACATGAGCAAGTACATAAAAAATAAAAATAAAAATAAAAATTGTTGAATCAACATCAGTCGTGTGCTCGTCTCGATAACATACTTACCGCCCTTGCCCTTGCCCTTGCCCTTGCCTCCAGATTTATATGGATCAGAGTTTGATTTGGGCAACTCTTGTTCCATGCCCTTGGTAGTTTGACGCTTCCTGCAGAAACGAAAGAGCAAGATACCCCCTACAACGAGAACCCCAACCACTCCTCCAACAACTCCAGCAATGAGACCCACATTCGACTTAGATCCTGGACCAGGATTCGAGCAAGTAGGCCCACATACAGGGTTTCCGTTTATGCTGCATACATTGAAGAAGACAAACCGTCAACCACAGTCAAGTTCCTCAGCACTACAATCAACCAAAACCTAGAGAAATCATGCTAAACCGTGAGCTGCATTAAGATGTGCCTTTCAAAGCTTCTGATTTGTAACAAGGCTGGAGCTCTTACTTCAAGTTCAGCCCAGACTTGTTCTTCAAGGCGTCAGGGACTGTCCCGGTCAAGTTGTTATTCTGAAGAAATAACTCTTCCAGTGTTGGAATGAAGCTTAAGGAATCAGGAATGGAGCCACTCAAACCATTGTCGTTCAGGTGCCTACATAACAGGATTAAGACATAATCGATTAGTGAACATCCAAACCGTATACCACACTACTTCTAAACCAGGCAAGCAGTTCACCTACGATTTCACGACGAAAGTTGTGCGGTTGCTCTTCACTTACAATGACTTCAGATGTTGCAATTTCTGAAGATTGGGAATGTTGCCAACTAGCTTGTTGTTATCCAACCATCTGCACAGTTGTATTGCCATCGTGAGATACCTTTGGTTCACAGAGTTTGGATTGGTAAATACAGAAACACCGATCGAAAGCATTCGTTGCAGTTCTAGAGACTTACAAGGTTTGAAGGGCAGTTAACTCTGCAAATTCCACAGGTATGATGCCAGTGAGGTTGTATCTTGACAATCTCCTGTAAGAACACAACGCGAACTTAAGTCCACTTCGTAAATTGCGACCTGACTCTCAGTGATCAAAACCAATGCACAGAAACTCAATTTATCCAAAAGGGCACCCTACGAAGAACATACACTGAAATTACTCTGGCAGCTTCTGTGGCCGTAACGGGGCTGCATAATACCCAGGGGAGTGGGACGGGAAGGCATGGATCTCCTCCCCAGCCAGTCAAATTAAGAGCCACTTTGATTTTCTCCAGTGCAGCAACTGCATTGACAGAAGCAGGAAGAAGTTTCAAACTAATGTTAGTATCCAAACGAAGGCCCAATGGGTCAAAAAAAAAGACGACATATTCACTGAGATTTTAGTTGGTCATGTGGAAAACATTACCCAGCAAATGAAAAGAAAAAACCCAACTTAAATAAAGGCACGGCATAGTGAGTGATATAGGTGCTGACCGTCTAGCTCATTGGTCCCAGCGACTGCGTCTGGACGATTAAGGTAGATTTCGAGAGCATTCATCAGTGGAGGATTGATTGACCCGGGTGCTGGAGTCATGGTAACAACTGAATTAGACGTTATTGAAAATTTCGAATATCCCCACACCGACGAGCGGAAGGCCCCCTGCGAGTCGTTGTAAGGGTTTATAGGTGTGGGAGTTGCTGACTGAAAATCAAGGAGGAAGGACCTTGAAGTTGCGTTGGCTGAAGCGTCCAACTCAGCAAAGTAAAAAAATAGAGTAGCTTCCATGGCACTGGCGTCGTTCGCGCCGGAATTAACTGGTAATATAACCGGAGAGAGTGTAGGAGAAGTAACGGCAGTTTGCATCACTTTAGATACAGGTTTTAGAAAGTAACCAGAATCAGTTACCGGGGTCAGTGTGGATATTGTTGTTAATGGCGAAGATTCGACCCAAGGTGCCCACAGACGATCGAGTACATCATCTGGATACCTCCATAAATTTCAAAACATTTCCCACACTTCTTAGTTTCATTCCCTAATAACCAAATCTACCCTTCCACGAATAAGATGAAACAACTGGAGCAGGGTTGGATTTCTAGAAACAACCTCTCATGATCGAATGCGAAAATGTAACAAATAGTAAGTTCGTCTGTACTTCTGTGATGAGCTTACCTTATCCAAACAGAACCACCGTAATTGCGTCGTTGCCAAAGAATCATAAAATTCCCTTCAAGTGTGCGCGGATATGCATATGATCCATCTGGCACTTGACTGAATACCAAAGAAGATATGAAGGGTGTGCCCTTAGATGTGGAATCTTTAAACAAACAATATGAAATAGCCGTAGCAGTCACTTTCGTTCGATAGATTACTTCAGCTTGTTGAGCCTGATCACCAAATTGGCTCATGTCTACGAAACCCAGGGCTGTTGAGTCTATAGCGATGTTGAACTTTGGTGGAGTGTTCGTCTGATCATAGTTACCGTACCAATAGGAGGATCGGATGATGTACGTAGAATTTGGCTTGATGGGTACAACGTAACAAAACTTTTCCCGTTTCTCCGGGAAATATCGTAGACTACCCAATTCACTGTATGATCCATCAGTTACTGGAACAGCCGCAACGGTCTGCCCTGCGGAAATGTACTTATCGTCAGGGGTCCATGAAATTGTTGTCATCGGGTCAGTGTACTTTCGGGCAGCACCACAGTCGATGCTTATCATATCAAGAACTTGCCCCCACGTTCCTTGCGCATTTAGGGCCAGCAATGCAAGAACTACTCTGAACCCAAGATAACCCATCTTAATGAACTGCAACCTAGCCCTGCGCTCACACAGTACAACGCAAATGCGTAGTGTGAGGATTTCACCAGGGGTAGGAATGGTGCATGCAGTTGTGTTTAGATACGTTTCTCGACATTGGAAGTAGACAGAGCATGTAATGGTCGACAGCAACAGCCGTGTCCGTGCACGAAACACTTTCCACCATAGGACTTCTCCCTTCGTTCGACATCAAATCAAAACTCAAACTGGCAACGATATGGTACCTTCTTAGCGCTGCAACACCAGAAGAGCTTGTACAAGTTATTCTAAGCTCTTGAATTGATCTTCTCTCCGTCCAATCTTCCAACTTCTTGCTCATATGAGTTACTGCAATTACACAACGAGATTTCGTCGCGAAATTATCAACTGTACACCTCCGTAAATACTGAAGTCGACATTATGTAGAAATGAAGATTAAGTTCAGAGCTACGACTTAGAGACATGGGTTGACGTGCTTTCTAGCAAGATTTACAAATCAACTAGAAATTCAATTGTTTCCCACTCATACAAAGAAAGTTACGAGGTCCTCCGACATTTGGCCACACCGAAATTCGGAATCTCAAAAAGCTTACATCACCACTACACACCGCGGTAAGAAAAAACGACCATACGTAGTTCAAAGTATTCAGACATTTCGTTTTCCGATATTTCTGTGAACCTTACGGCATATTCGGACAGTCAGTTCGTACAGCATCCGACGCTCTTGACACGGAACTTTCCAGTGATGCGGCAAAGCAATACCACTACTGCAATGGAAACCTCATCCGAAAACTACATAACTGTGCACTACGTTTTCACATTCAACAATGAAATGACTTCATGATGTAGTGTTCAAGAACCCGACGGTCAAAATTCCACCATGGGCTTCAACACTGTCAGATTTCTGACATCCAGACAATTTCGAACATCATGATTACCACCTTCCCCTGATTATTTTCTGAAGCTACATACTTGGAGCCCACACTGCAACCCGCGGACTACGTCTATTTCTTGTACTTTAAAGTCTTGATTGCCGTCACAAGTAGCAGTACCGACTCGACTCGCAAAAATATTCTCTAAACGACACCTACAACTTCCAAACTATATCTCTTGTCAGTCCTCATGAGGAATGTACCAGGTTCAACAACTTTTTCCTGATGCAGGCGTTTGAATCAGGCTCAACTTGTAAGCCGCAGGCATCGCACAGCACATGTGACTACCAACGACAGACCTCCTGCAGGGACTCTTGACATACGGTCCGAAGATAAACACCGTTTGTTTATTTCAGCAGAGCTCTCGAAGAGGAAAGAATCATCTCACCTTCGAACAACAAAACTTCGCTTCAACAACTTCAACAAACTGACAGCCGCAGCCACAAACAAGTTTTGCACACCTTACAGACTGCTCTCAATGTTAGCATCGATTTCACAGCTCACTAGAAACAGACTAGGGCATGTGTCGGTGATCCTTCTCTAGCGACTTGCACTGGAGTGCACAACAAAGCTCTACCAACTCGTTGCTCACAATCCACTTCGAACCATCACACTCTCTCCAACGAGAAACCATTCCCAGAAACCCAATGGAATCCATCTGATCAACCTGAACTGGTTAGGAGAGAAACCACACTCACCTGGAGCATTCTAGCAACCAGAGTCTGTTCCATTCCCACGCCCTAGAAGCCCCGTCTGCTGCTCCACCAACGACTTACTCCAACTAGCAGCTATCGCACCTTACATACTGCTTGGCGTTATCACCGAAACCCCTCGCCGCTAGCTTCGAAAGAGGAAAAGAAAGTTCACACAATCACAGGCAAACAAATAAATAACCTCCACAACGTAATTCCCCCCTCCCACGTTCGGATCCTGTCGTGTAGTCAGTAGTCAACCACATTGAAAATTCGCGAATCGGTAGCGGGCGTAGCGCCGTCGTCAGCGCGGCTGGTTGCTAGTTGGTGCTTCCTGGCGAGCCCCGAATAGTTGTCCATCCTGGACGCTCCTGAACATCTGCACCGAGTTGTCATTACTGGTCATTTTTCAGTCTCCACCCACAATACCCCCACTACATTTTTGTGTGCCCCTCAAATTTTCTGCTCCTTTTTTCCCTACTGGGGAAAAGCACAGCAGTACGGAGGCCGACATGGATGGTGACATGATGGGATGACTATGGTTGACAATGTGAGTCAATGTGTGTAATGTTGAAATACCTTAAACCGTGTCATGCCCACAGAGCTTACCCTAAAACACCTTTGCATGAACCCAAAAACAACCATTCTTCTTGTGGAAAGATTTGAAGTCCATTCCAACCCAACCAAAGATCGGCAAACTTTACAAGGATGAAGTTGGTGGTTTAGTGTGATGGAGGTAGTGGTTTAATGTGTCTCTGTGGATGGTTTTGGTTAAGTCTATGTGTTGGTTCAGGGGTTTAATGCAAAAACCGATTTGTTAAATTTTTTCCAATAAACCATTGCAACAATTCATTTTTTGTTTTTGTTTTTGTTTTTGTTTTTTTTTTTCTGCCTTTTGAAGCACACCAGAACCTGATTTATCCACCAATAAATAAAACCCCCTTGAGACAGCTGAAAAAACTGAAGTACAATGATATGCATGGTAATGGAATGGCAAGGATCTCAATCCAAGTGGAGAAATATGTCCTCTGGTTCAGTGGATAAATTGGAGTTTGATGGCAATGACTGCTGGCAAGGTGGTCACTGTTCCTTAGTAGAATGAAATGCAAGAGGAAAAGGGTGGCACACTATTACAATAATGAATTTGTTTCATATGTAACCACTGAACAAGGTCAATGACGTCTGAAGGAAATGACATGATTATCTGCATGGATCAACAAAATCAAAATTGATAAACTAATATGTTTCAAGTTAATGGACTGTGAAAGAGTCAATTGAAGAAGATATTAAATTTCACTGGCTTAAACAATTCTAAAATCAATAATAAATAAAATAAGGGAATTGTTAGGCGAACACCTCTTATTATTGTGTAGATTCCCAAATCCCATGTAACCCCACATAGTAAAACTCTTATTCATTCTAAAGAATTTAGGAGAAATTTACAGTAAAAGATTTGTGATCAATTACTTTTGACACTTTTTCTTTTGCTTACTTTTTTGTTGATTAAATTTAACCAAATTTTATAATACAGTCTATGTAATTTTTTTGTTCACTTCAAAAAGATCCTATGTCTTATTTAGGAAATATTCCATTATAAAATTATCTTAAGATTTTTTAATATTAATAAAAACATTTATTATGTGTATGCAAAGGTTCATTGTATTGGGCGGGTTACCATTTCACAGTTTTCTAAAATAATTTCAAAAGGAGAATCATTTTGCAAAAAATATTTAAAAACTTGGATAAGTAAAATTAGTAAAATTATAGAAGGATATAACACATAATTATCTCCCTTGCCCTCTCTGTTCAAATATCTTTAGTAACTTCACTTTAATCATTATTATTATTATTATTATTATTATATTACGACACAAAATAGTGTTGATCCCGTAAAACATGATCCACATAATGCACCAAATCCAAGTTCAATTAATTTCTGAATTTGTGTCACAAGAAAACCTAAGTTATGCCAAATTTAAAATGTAAGTAAAGCCCAAGTCAATGAGGAAATGCGTCTCCAGCTGTAGCAGAATAACCCAAGTTGTGTAAAAATAAATCATGCCAAAGTTCTTGTGGCAATATTAGAATATTGCAAAACTGCCATTGCAATCCACCGTGACATTACTATATAACGGCAAAGGGGGACATCAATAAAACCCAGCGTACGGAATTTGGCCTCAGCGCCGCGACCTCGTCGGAGAGATAACACCGCACCACAATCAAAACAACTTACTGCACGATGCCGGCGCTTTTTTTAAAAAAAAAAATTTTCCCCCCCCCCCCCCCCCCCGATCGACACCACGCTGGAGCCCATTCTCGGACGAACTGAATTGTCAACGCCGAGTTCCTCGCCTGACGTGTCTTGCAAATGTTCACATTACCCCCCCCCCCCTTCTCTGGGACCTGGCGACCTCCAATTCGGTGCTTCTGACATGTTGCAGAACAGGTACTCTGTCCGAACTCTGACCTTTTACTTCATCCGTCCGTTATCCATATCTGTGTGAGTGAGATGGTCTGCTGCTTGTTCACGGGCAACCACTTGTTGGTTGGACTGGTCAATGGTTATTGGTTTGGAGTCTAAGCGAAAACAACATACACACAAACTCATTCATGAGCTATTAGATACAGTTAAGAGTTTGGGGTTTATTAAAATGCTTTTGGTTCTAAGATCCATTTGAAGTTTTTGTTAATCCAGTAGCAGGTACCAGCTGGATACCTATTCCGCTACGGCCGTACGTTCGCTTGCTCTTTCTCCTGAGTCGGTATTTTCTTGTCGCTGTAGACCAAGGTCAGGATGCTTTAGTACCCTGATTATGTGAAAAGAATGAACTCTGCTCGTCATTATTGTAAGATTTTTCTATTTCACGTTCAACTGGCATTGTCAAGGTGGTGTCAAAAGAATGCATGTGTTCTCAGAGCTTGTGGTCTGAATGTGAAAGTAGGGTTTTTGTGTTATTTGTGGATTTTGTCAGAGTTTCTGTGCTTCTACTCAGCTTGTGGGTCTTTGGATTGTGCACAAGTGTATGTTCCAGGATAAGCTGTGTCTGCTTGTATGCTTGAGGTATGATCATTGCTACTTGTTTTGTTGAAAATGCAAAAGTTATCTCTGCGGTTTTCATTTAAGAGTTGTTCTGGATTGTGGGTGTCTTTTTCTTTTTACGTATTTGTTGGTCCATTCACTGCACTTGTGAAGTAATGTGACTGTAAATTTATGGGAGTTTGCATATCAAAACTTGGTGTTCTTTGCAGTGCACCGTGACTAAAATTTTGCATGTCACAGAGATAGTTTATCTTGTTTCAAAGCACTTGAAAATATTGCAAAGAAGAGAGTAAAATATCGTGTTTGTGTATATATCACGTGATTTAAAATATGGAAGAAAAATACATGAAAGCTGTTTCTAATATTTGTAAACATCATAAAACACATTGGCAGACACTAAACGGTGGTGGTTTAACAAGCTTTTTGAAAAGATTCATAGCAGAACAAATTTTATTTAGACTTTTATAAAATATAACAAATTTGTTTGTAAAATTTTAATTTCTTTAAACATACATACATACATACATACATACAAATGCATATTCTACAAATTTGAATGAACATTACTTCCACAAGTGTCCATCAAAGAAATGTTTTGAATCAAAAATGAAATCTACAAATGACACCATAAAAAAGAAAAGGTTACATCTTCACTTCCATCAATCACCACAACAACTTGAAGAAGGTATTTGGTGAAATAACTTATGTTGAATTTAATTGAAAGCAACTATTTCATGTTTGTAAATTAATGAAATAAACATGTTATAATAATCTTTTATTAAGATTTATTTTTTTTTCATCTATAAATTAATTTTTTAAATTAATGCTAAATTCAAGTATATATGACATAGATAAGTTTATAATAATTTGTAGAAATTTTATAAAGTTTATAAATAAGATATAAAATAATATTATTAAGATTTTTTTAGTATAAATTTTATTGGTTGTTGAGAGCTATAATAAATCCCTAATAGTTGATAGTTCATTTTAATTTATATAAGTGTTTAAATATTTGATAGTTTATTTGTGTTCATAACTTAAAGCATCTAAATTTATTTCAATTAAAATAAGAATGAATAAAACTCTTTGATATAAGCATTTATATTTGAAAAGTTTTGATTCATGTATAACATTTCATTCCTAAAAAAATAATTTACTCTTAAATAAAATTTTATCCAAAACTTAACATAACTTTACACAATTATATTTCATCTAAGTACAATTTTATTCATCTTAAAAATTCTTACTTAGTAAGAACATATCAAAAAAAAGCCTAAACAAAGAAAGTAACTATAGAGCAAGAATAATACTAGATTACAAAGATGATTTCATGGAATGCAATACACCAATTAAAACCTAAAACAATTTTGAAAGTTATAGGATAAATATCACAAACATCCATATTTATTTCCATAATTATCTATATATTATCAAAAGACATGAGGTGCACTTACAATATCAAAGCTTTGTCTTTTTTTTGATTAAAAGAGGATTATTTTTTATTTTTAATAAGTCATAGATTTATTAGAAGTTGTGGATTATTCACTTCTAAATTGATATTGTTTTTAGATTTGTTTTTGTTCTCAAGTCATTTCTTCTACTTGTCTTGAGTAATATTAGATATTTTCTTTTTTATTGTGTTATTATTCTAAAGCTTACTCAAATGAAGAATGCTATGGCACAAATACAAGATTAAATGAGGGAATTAATGCTTGTAATGCATCAACTCAATTTACCACCATAAGAAGAAATAAGATTAGCAAGAAATAAAGATATAGAAATGATTAGAGCGGCTTCAATATCTATACTAAATCATATTATTTTTTCTATGGTAGAACACTATTCAAGTATTAGAGAACCAAGAGTTGCCTTGCTTGAGAAGTTTGTTTATACAAGATTAAAGTTTTAAGAATTTATCAATCAAGTATAATTGGCTATTGCATTTCAAACTTAAAGCTATCCAACTCTTGAATCTTAAGTCAAATTTATTGAAATATTGCTTTTAAATTCTATTTTATTGTGGTTTTGCTGAAGACATGAGTTTCAAATAAATAAAAAATTCAATACACTCTTCTGTTACTTAAAAAGAATAGATATTCATTCAAAATTAACATAGTATTGAAATTGAAATAACTATTGCTGAAAATAAGAAGATGAAAAAGACTTAAAAAAAGATTAAGGACTAGAAAGGTGTTGACAAGAATGAAGAAGTCTTCACTCCTGCTTCTATATATACTATTTAACTAAGAGCTATGTGGTGACATTCTATAGAATATTCATCACATGTCTATCTTGTAATACATGTGTCTTAATTAACGA